TCGCTTAGAGCTGCTTCTTGAAAGAGCAACTGGAACATACCGACTGTATCTTGGGTTAAGTCCTGGTAAATTTACCTTCATTTCCGAACTCGGTCATCTGCGATCCTACATTTTGTTTGATGACTGTCTTCTTTTTGTATACTTACAGCGCTTTCTGGTGACATGAGTAAACTGTTATTGGCTGCGAAGAAAGTCAGGAGGGCTACAAGTACAGAGTTTGTCATATCTTTGTCGGGGAATGATTTCTCTCGAACGAGCAGTAATTATGTGGGAAAACTGAGGTAAGTCGTCCAGATTCATGATTCTGACAGTTTGTTCCGTCACCTCTTGTTATGCAGTGTACAAACTTCTTTTCTCGTGGACAGGTCCAATTTCTTTGGAACCAAATTCACGGTCTACGACAGCCAGCCTCCTCCACTCGACCCGGAAATCTCGTCCAACCCCAAGACAAACCGGAAACTCAAATCAAGGCAAGTCTCTCCATGGGTGTCTGCTAGTAACTACAACATAGCTTCGATCTCGTACGAGCTAAATGTCCTCCGAACACGAGGCCCGAGAAGAATGCATTGCATCATGCACGGTGTCCCGATATCATCAGTTCAAGAAGGCGGTACCGCTCCTACTCCAACAGAATTTACAAAGAGCGTAAACAACAATTCTCTGCCGCGTTTAGATTACAAAGAGAAGAAGAAAGGCATTATCGGATTCTGCTCAGGCAACCTCAGAGAATCATCACTGTTAGATCCCGACAACGACGGCTCAAGAGATCCATTGGTATTGAGAAACAAAGCGCCCAGATGGCACGAGCAACTGCAGTGCTGGTGTCTGAACTTCAAGGGACGAGTCACGGTGGCTTCGGTGAAGAACTTCCAGTTGGTAGCGGCGGCTGAACCGGGACAGAACATCATCCCAGCATCCGAACAAGAGCGAGTGATCTTGCAGTTCGGTAAGATCGGCAAAGACATTTTCACGATGGATTACCGTTACCCTCTCTCCGTCTTCCAGGCTTTCGCCATCTGCCTTAGCAGCTTCGACACGAAACCAGCTTGCGAGTGAAATCGTTGTACATAGGCCGATCGATCAATTGGGTCGGGGCTTTCAGCTGTTTGTTTCGCAATCTTTCCACCTGATGCTTCAGAGTTACTTCGCATCAAAAAGCTTAAGTATGTTCAATCAGTCTTTGTTTACAGGCGGTAACTCTTTGGCTCAGGCAAGGAATTTCGTGGTCTGTATCATGAAGCAAATGACCAAAGCTTCGAAAGACAGAACCCTAAACCCTGTTTCTTTTTGTCGTTAACTCAGTTACTGCAGACTGAAATAGGGTTCACATGTATAATCTTCCTTCTCTTTCTCTTTTTTTTTTTTTATTTATTTCCTCTTGCTATTTGATATTGCTGTACATTTAAATATTTTTCTCCTTGGAGAAAAAAAGTTTCACTCAATAACAGCACAATTTTAACATATAATAAAAACACAAAAAAACTTTATTTAAACAAATAGCATATAAATACCCAAATTTTTATAAAAATTTCATATAAATAACTGAATTACAAAACTTTCATATAGTTATTTAAATTTTTTAAAAATTCTATTTAAATATCTAGACTTTAATTTTTTTTAAATAAACACAAAATTCAGATTTTTTTAAAAAAAGTGGTTGATGTCATTAATATATTTTGGGTGTATTTGATAATTTTTTCAGAAGTTTGGATATTTATATGAAAGTTTTATACTTCATATATTTATCTTAGATTTTTATTAAGAGTTTAGATATTTATATAGGATTTTTCTATTAAAAAAATGTCTTTAAAATCTAAATTTATCCATAAATTCGAATAAACAATTGTATCTCTTATCAATACTTTCAAAAAATTACTATATATATATATATAATTTATTTATTTTATTTATAATTTTAAAAGTACTTTACAACGATAAATTACCATTTATATATATATATATATATATATATAGTTGAGTTGAAAATATATAAGCTAGTAAAATTATCATTTTTCTAAATTTTAATTGGATATTAGGGATTATTTGGATATTTTTTCTAATTAATAACAACGTTTTCTCCAATGCATAATTCCAATCCAACATCGTAAGTATCTATTTCGTTAAAAAAAAAAACGTAGATGAGTGAAGATTTGATTTAACTGGGTGTGTTCTAATCGTTTACGACGTCAAAGCTTATGTGAGTGAAGTGGCATAATTTCCAAATTTGACATAATTTCTCTTTTGACATGTTGATTTTGGTTGCCCTAATTATGACTAAGCAACATACAATGAGTTCTCTTTTATAAATTAAGTTACATTGCAATTATAATGTTATATTTTAATGATTTATCTTGAGTTATAAGATTGGACCGTCGGTTTGACCAAATTTCATAAACGACAATGATTGATATGGGAGAACAAAACCGCCATGATTTTATTTTATCAAACGTTGTCACCATACTAATTATGTAGTTTGCATGGTTTACAGCCTTTATTAGAGGGCCCCAACTAAGTGGAAATAAATGTTGATGCACTTTTTTTTTTAATTACATTCAAATAAAATCCGAAAACTTTGTAAAATTAGAAGCGAAATTTATCACTAAAAGATTTGTTTTTGTTTGGCTTCTTCATTTTGATGTTTTTTTTTTTGTAAAGAATCATATTCAACTTTGAATAGAAATACAATAATTGGGGGAAAACCCAGGTGAATTGGCAAGGAGCATAGTCAATATATCGAGAAGTTGGGATTCGACTCCTTACCACTCATCTATCACCTATCAATTACTGTTGATTTAACTCCCACATATATATCGCAGACTCGTGCGCGTGGACGACTGTCTGCGATGCCATTTCCGTCCGATTCATTGGGCTGTGAGGTGTGGTGGAATCCGATCCAAAGAGTCATAGGACGGGTTTCCACTAATGATACCCAAAAAAATACAATAATCACATTCTATATAAAAAAAAATTATCACTAAAAGTATAAATTATGGAAATAAAATTTCGATTCCATAAAATGTCAAGGAAAATTGTAATAATGAAAATGGCTTCTTCCAATATTTTGGAACTACAAAGTGAGCAATTGTTTAGGATAGGCGTCAATCAGTATATCTTGATTTTGCAACCCTAATAATAAGATATTGGGCGTGTTTTAAGTTTTAACCCAATAAATTTGAATTATATCCCTAATTTTGAAACTTTTAACTTTAAACATTGAAATCTATCTTTCCTTTTTCTAACTTATTATAATTAATTTTAGTGTGAGAATGCAGAAAAAGATCTCTTTTTTAACCCTAATTATTGAAATCTCTGTTTTAATATATGATAAATATATTTATCTATATAATATATAAAACATTGAAATCTATATTTCCTTTTTCTAATTTATTATAATTAATTTTAGTGTGAGAATGCAGAAAAAGATCTCTTTTTTAACCCTAATTATTGAAATCTCTGTTTTAATATATGATAAGTATATTTATCTATATAATATATGATTTAGCTATAAGTTTGATCACCGGTCGTAGGATAATTTTCTCTCATATCGGTGCAGGGTAAGAGACGCATAATGTAGACATCTAAGGAATTTCAACTGCTAGTGACGGTACAATTGTTGGATTCAAGTAACTATGGTTACTGGAAGGTGAAAGTCATGAATCTGATTAGAGACCTTGATGAAGATACGTGGAGGGCTGTAGAAGAAGGATGAGATTTTTCGAAAGCCATTGGAAATGATGGGATGGAAGTTATCAAACCTAGTTCTCAGTGGATCCCCACTGAGAAAAAGGCGTCAGCACTCAATGCAAAAGCTCTGACTATAATCTTCAACACTATTGATTTAGATGAGTTTAAGCAAAATTAGGGGTGCAAAACTGCAAAAGAAGCTTGGATCACGTTGGAGTTAATTCATGAAGGAACAAAAAACGTGAAACGCACCAGAAGAGACATGCTAAAGACATAGTTCAATCAACTCAGAATGGAAGAGCATGAAACTGTCAAAGAATTCAGTGGTAAACTGAGTGCTATGGCGAATGCGGCAGGAGCACTTGGTACAACATACTCTGACAAAAAAATAGTGAAGAAAATCCTAGCGAGTTTACCCATCAGGTTCTTATATCAGAAAACCTCTTTTCAGACATTTTATGATACTGATACAGTTAGTATCTAGAGGACAACGTCCTGATGAGTTACAACAATGCCCAAAGCTAGCTGAGGTACAATAATCTCCTTGACGAACTCCAAGAATCAAGGAGGATATGCAATCCTCTTGGACTGAAACTCGGAGATGTTACAACTGTGGTAGACGTGGGCATATTCGTAGGAACTGCTATCGTTATCGCTTCAAGTCAGGTAAGTCTCACTATTCTCTCACTGGTCAAGTCAGACAATGTTGGGTACGAAAGGATTTATTGCACTGTAATGTTGTGTATACATCTCAACAGGTAAACACTAATGATCATTGGTATTTTAATAGTGGATGTTCTAGGCATATGACAAAAAATCATGCGATTCTCTCAAACTTTGTTCAAAACACAAAAGGAGGAAGTGTAACCTTTGACGATGGAAAAAAGGGAAAGATCTTAGGTAATGGGACACTGAATGTCAGTGGACTTCCAAAACTGAAGGATGTGAATGTTGTATAAGGCACTACAAAAAAAAAACCTCAAATTCCAACAGACGAATCCGTTGGAAAAGGCCGAAAATCCGTTGGAAATGTCGATTTTCAACGGATTTCCAACAAATATTTCCGTTGGAAAAACGTCGTTGGAAAATCGATTCCGTTGGAAATCCGTGGCATTTTCCAAACAGAATTCCAATGCAGCCATCCGTTGAAAAATTTCAACGGGTTTCCAACGGATACTTCCGTGGTATAATTCCAACGGAATTCCAACGGATAATCCGTGGCCAATTTTCCACGGAAATACGTTAGAATATCCGTTAGAAAAATTTTCACGGATTTCCAACGGCGTTAACCACGAATATCCATTGGAAATGCCGTTGGAATCATCGTCTGAATGTTACAACAGTATTTACAACGACTATCCGTTGGAAAATTATAACGGATATCCGTTGGAAAAGTGCGTTGGACATTTGCAACGCTGTTTGTGACGGACATCCGTTGGAATTTATAGGTGGTTCCAACGGATATCCGTTGGAATGTCCGTTGGAAAGGAAAAAAAATTAATAAAAAATAAAATAAAAATTTAAAAATAAAATAAATTATTATTTTATTTTTAAATATTTATTTTATTTTTTATTAATATTATATATATTTATATATTATATATATTAATTAATAAAAATTATATATTTTAAAATATATATATAATAAACAAAATTAAAATTAAAATATTAAAATAAAAAAAATTGTTCAAATATTAAAGAAAATTTAAATATTTCAGAAAATATAAATTAATTGGCACTACGAGTTTTTTCGTCTTCGCTGGTCCCGAGATTACGTACCGTCGTTTCTGCTCCCGAGCTTGACGGCATGTTGTGGAGTGGCCGATCACCTCGCATAAGCTTAACAATTTGTTCGAGTTTACTCACTTGTTGCCTCGTCGCCGCAAGCTGTTGTTCGAGTGTCTTGATTCGGAACTCTTAGTCTTGAAATGGTCTGAATTCCAATGCGTAACAAGCTGTTGGTACAAGTCATTTGTTGCCCACTCCGGTGGTAATCCATGCAACTGATGACGGCCTTTGGCATTGTTCATCATTTGTTTCAACTGTTGCATGCCAACCTAGTTGAACTCTTTGTAAACTTTATCGGTGTACTTTTTTTTCCACCGAAAAGATTGCTTTATACAAGAAAATTTAGAGTTAGCGATAAATTTTTCTATTTAAATGAATTTTTTTTAAAAAAACTTACGATGAACGAGTGTCACCAAGAACGTTTCAGATTGTCTGGGACCACTGTCCAACAGTAGTAGAGTTGAGGAAAATTAGACGTTATTATTGCCGTAAATTTTTCCCTTAACACTTTATAGTAGAATATTAACATTTTATTATTAATATTAGTTAATAATATAATTAAAATAATTATTTAAATAAATTAATTTAAAAAATTACTATAACGCCCAAGTTCGGGATCAATCAGCGGGACCTCGCGAGTATCGAAGGAGTTTAAAATCTCCTCCACCTCCTCCAGAGTTATGTCAATCTCTCGGAATAGCGGTGGTGCGTCCGGCGGATCCGGAAGACGAGAAGGTGGTGGCAGAAAGAACCTGCCAACAATCCACCGGATCCGAAAAATCGCCTACGAAACTGAAAAAAATAATAGTTAATAATATTTAAAATAAAACATAAATAAATATTAAATTTAAAAAATAAAAACCATATTACCATTTTGTGTTTTTTTTTAATTTTTTTTGGCTTTTTTTTGTAGAGTT